GTTGGGCAATCTACTTCTGTAGTGTTACTGCTTCAGAAACCCAAGGAGGGGTAACATTGAGTCGGATCCGACTAAACAGCAGTGGATTTCGTTGTGTAGGAATAGGGATTGCATGGAAGGGTGGCTCTCTGGCATGCCTTTCATCCCGTAGATCTGCTCTCTAAGAAACTTCTACAAACTCCAGCTAGTAATGATGATTCAGAGATGCCACAAGCCTATTTATCTAAGTTGTCCTGGACCCCTTGGCATATTCTCCACTTCTCTCCTTCTGGTCCTTTTTCCAAATGATGCTGATCTCTGGCTATAGAATTCGGTCACCATGGACTGTGGTCTCTGGACTTGTTTTTGCATGTGGTTGCTCACTCTCTTATGAGCTCTGGGACATTATCTCCCATGGATCCCCACTAGCAAAGGGTTTCTTCTATGTGTCTTTGGATGTGTAGGGTATTCACATACATTAACATGTGAGAATATAAACTGGAAATTTTTTTTTGAAAAAATTGGCAATATCTTTTTAAAGTCACAGTCTTTACTATCTATCTCCTTTAACCCAATTTCCAATTTCTACCGAAAACCATGTATATTTTCCCAGGAATTCATGTTAGAAATTTTGATGTCAGATCTATAAATCATATTATCAAATAAGAAACAACTTGTGTGCTGGTTAGTAGAATAAATACAGAACATGCAGGCTTTCAGAGTTGTTCAGAGTGAGATGATGTGTGCTGAAGAGAGGCCAAATTCATTTAATTTTATTAAGTGGTACAGGCAAGGGGAAGAATAATATGTGTACCTTTATCAATTAAGTTACAAATAGCATATGTTTTTATAGTACATGAACCTTGAAAACACTATGCTGAATGAAATGTCAGTCACCAAAGGACAAAAGTCGTATGATTCCACTTACATGAAATATCTACAGTAATGGAGAGTATAAAGATCATAGTTTATTAGTGGTTGCCAAGAGCAGGAGGCAGGAAGGAATGCAGACTCACTGTTTAGGGGACACTGAGTTTCTATCCAGGGTGAAGGAAAAGTTTGGAAATGGATAATAGTCATGGTGGAACAACAAGATGAATGGATGTAAATAATGCCACTGTACATGTAACAAATGTTCAAATGGAAAATATACTGTTAACATATATGTTTACATAGGAACTCTGGTGGCAGAGTGCCTAAGGCATTTGAGTGCTAACCAGAAGGTTGGCAGTTCAAACTCACCAGCCACTCCTCGGAAGGAAGACTGGGCTATCTACTTCCGTAGAGATATCACCTCGGAAACCCAAGGAGGGCTTGCTATGAGTCAAACCAACTAGAAGGCAGTCAGTGGGTTTTTTTTGGGGGGTTATATATTTACAACATGTACACACACAACTTAGACCCTTCCCTTAAATAAAACACATCAGACTCTTAGGAGGGGAATGCATTTTGGAAGAATATCTGCAAAGGGGAGAATTATAATTTTATATATATAATTTTTTGTTTAAAACCATGATATACACTAATAGCTTGTCTTTGTTGTCAGTTGCTGTGGCCTGAAGCATCTTGTGGCAACCTTATGGATAACAGAATAAAACATTGCCCCATCCTTTATTAAGTGGTATGGATTACATCTCAGTATAAAGAACATGAAAATCTTCACAACTGGACCAATAAGCAACATCACAATAAATGGAAAAAAGACTGGAGTTGTCAAAGATTTCATTTTATTTGGTTCCACCATCAACACCAATAGAAGCACCAGTCAAGAAATGAGACATCGTACAGGGAAAATGTGCTGCAAAAGATTTCTTTCAAGTGCTGAAGAGCAAAAGTGTCTCTTTGAAGACTAAGGTGTGCCTAACCCAAGACATGATATGTTCAATTACCTCATATGCATGTGAAAGCTGGACAATGAATAAGGAAGAGCAAAGAAGAGTGGATGCTTTTGAATTGTGGTGTTGGTGAAAAATACTGTAAGTACCGTGGACTGCCAGAAAAACTAACAAATCTGTCATGGAGGAAGTGCAGCCAAGAATGGCTAGACTTCATCTCACCTACTCAGTCCATGTTGTCAGAAGGGACCATTCCCTGGAGAAGGTTATCTTGCTTGGTAAAGTAGAGGGTCAGCGAAAAAGGGGAAGACCCTCAACAAGATGGATTGACACAGTGGCTGCAATGATGGGCTCAGGTATAGCAAGGGTGGTAAGTCTGGCACAGGACCAGGCAGCATTTTGTTCTATTGTACACAGGATCTCTGTAACTCAGAGCTGACTCTCTGGCACCTAACAACAAGAGCATCCTTTATTAAAACATGTATATAAACCTAAAACAAGAGAGAGAAGTTGTGCATTATTCACAGAATCTAATTCCTACATGATGCAGCACAGAGAACCAGAAATCAGAATGGTTTAACACAGTATTTATTTTTATTTCTCCTCACGTAAAATCTGCTGTGAGGTAGCAGGGGTTGTCTGCCATCAGGTGACCCAAGGATTCAGTCTGCTTCCATCAGTTGCTTCTGTCATCACCAGAGGGGCATGCTTGAAGCTGAATAGAAGAGAAAGCATACTGGTGACATACCTGTTCTCAAATGCCTCTAACGCTTTGCTCATATTTCAGTAGCAAGCGCTAGTCCCATGACACAGATGTGAGTGATACCCACACGTATGTCCAAAAAGTGTTTTATTCTCCTTCCCACCATCTTTTATAAGGCCTGTATATTGTATTTTGCAGTCAGTGTCATTCTTTTTATTACTTAAGAGACATTACAGAGTATTAAAATGAAAATAAATTGAGAGGCAGACAGTTGGCCTCAGGCTGGGAGAAGTGAAAGAGAGTGTACTACCAACTAATTCAGAGCAGGAGTCTAGTTTCAGCTCAGCTCTGTCAACAATTCTCTTGGATTCTCATCTTTCTGGAGCCACAGAGGCTGGATGAACCCCTGAAACTACTGTCCTGAGATAATCTTTAAACTTCAACCAAAAATATCCTTTGACGTCTCCTTAAAGCACAATATAAATATTGCTTATATTTTTACATGGGGTCAATATGAGTCAGAAATGACTTGACAGCACATAACAACAACAATATTTTTGCCTAAATAGTAAAGAATATCTGCCTTGAAAATGAAGCTCTTTTAATAGCTATTTATATAGGGTCAAAGTGACAACAGCAACTGAAAAGATTAGATAGGAAACTTAGGGGTGGGGAGTTCATGTTAATGAGGGAAGAACAAGTCAGAAAAGGAGGGTGAGAATGGTGGCTCACTTGAAGAACATAATCAATGTCACCACAAGGTAGATGTGGAAACGGTCAAATCCGTACATGTTTGGTTTGCTGTGTATATTCTCAACAACAACAAATCTACCCTGTTAACTCACATCCCCAAGCTTGCTGAGTCCCACTTCATCACCTGTGAAATGGGTCTGATGAGCCCTATCTCATCGGAGTGTTACAATATATGTAACATTAAAATATAATAATAAAAAAAAAAACTGGCAAAGTACCTGACATATTCCTACATCTTTAAGAATGAGAGCTATTGCTGAGATTATGTCTTCTCAAAACTCTACCACCCTGTCCTTACTTTTACTTATTTTTTTAACAGAGGATATCTCAGAGAACATGAAGTGCTTTCAGAGACAGAATAGGAAATCAGATAAAAAATACTGGTTAGAAAGTGAAACTTAGGAATGTTTTCCCTCAGAAGGTATATGATTTAACTTATGTGTAGATGTCTTCCCCAGCTGGACACAACTTAAATGTCCTAGAATTTCTGTCAAGTATAAATGCCTTGCCTCCCTTCCAAGCAAAGCACCAGTGTTTTCATTAATTTCACCTTCAGCAAAACGTTAGATGTTGCCAAATGATCTCAAGAAAATTAAAATATGTCTTGAATGCAGCGGGGTTGGTCTCTCCCAGCTCCACCCAAATACTGCCAGCCCAGTGTCTTCTGGGAATCTCCCTCAAGGGAGTCTCCTTACTAGTTTTCAGAAAGTATATGGACCTGATGTGTATATACATCTAGTGAGTACAATGCATTCGACAGCACTGTGATAAGCATGCAGGGAAACTTCCTTTCCTGCTTTTACTCATGATCTCAAAGTAACTGACAGGGTTTCTTCTTCTTTTTTTTTTTTTTTAATTCCAGGATTTTTCTCTCAGCTGTGAGGCACAATTATCTGAGGGTCTGTTCCTGGTCACCACTCTGACAGCTACCCACCCCCTATCTTTACTTGAAATCATCTAACACTGAAAGACTAGCAATTTCCCAAAGTCCAAACTGTCCTCCTCAAGGAATTTATATTTGACACCCTCAACGGGGTGTCAGAGATGCTCATCGAATGTTTTGAGAGTTAATGAGTCAGTGAACAAGGGGTCTAATTTATTTAGGTTAAACTTCTCCTACATTCTTGAATGATAAGCAAATCCAGGTGCTTACCATTTGATTTTACAGAACAAAGTACTAAATGGGTTGAGGAAAGCCAAAAAATGACCATCATTTACATTTTTCCTTTATATCACATTTTTAAAGGTGAGTTATTCACATTTCCGAGGAAATGCCTATCCAAATGTCATGTTATCTTCTCCCTAGTAATAGAGTAAGATTGGGAGGTGTCACGCTTTGTTTTCCAAATAGCAAAGCTCTTACCATTTAACATCCTAAACAGCAATAAATCCATGAACAACATGATACATACATTTAGATTTTAAAAATACT